TGCTAGCTGGGACTGGGCGTCCACAGCGCCAATGGGGATCCGACTTTCCCCGCTCGGGGTGGCCTTTGGCTTGCTAGCTGGCCGCTTTGCCTCCTTTGTGCTGGGTGGGCCAGGTGCTCCGGGCCTGCATGAGCTGCTGGTGGCGGCAGCGCGTGTCCACAGAGAGGGCCTCTGGCACGCGTGCCATAGGTTCGCCACCACTGGTATAGGGTTTCCTGCCTGACCATGGGGTTGGATTAGAACAGTGGTCCCCAACTTTTATGGCTTGGCAGCCTGACTGGGGGAGAGGGGCGAGGGAGGAACTGGGCCACTTGACTTGCACGAGTGGTGGGCCGGCACACACACGATGGCCCGCCGGCCCACCATTTTTGCAAGTTGAGCTGTGTGCATGTGCACTCCAGCCAGCCACTCACGGGACCCATTTCTGAATAGCCTGGTCATGAGCCCACGGCCCAGAGGTTGGGGACCCCTGGATTAAAAGATCTCCAAGGTCCCTTCCAATTTTGTTCCTCTGTTGTTCTCTGTGCAGGTGACCTCTGGAAGTGCTTGGAATTGGCTCACGGCCTTGTAACAATTACCTTGTAAATGAACAAAGTTGCAATGCTTCACACTCCTTGAAGTCAGCCTTGCTGGCACAATCAGCTTCCACTGAACTGGAAACCAAGTGAAAACAACCTGCTGGGAACATTTTGCTTAAGCCCAACCTTGAGGGATTTCACTTTAGTGATGGGACACGCATGGGAGCGTGTCACAGGCAGCCATTAGCTTCTGGCCTCAGCAAGTGATCTGCCGGTCTCCTTCTTAGCTTAAAGAAAAAAAAAAAGCATATTGTTTCCCCCCAGAGTATCAAATCTAATCTGCTGATCTCTGCCGGTCCATGCTGTGCTTTCTTCTTTCCCCACCCACTGTTTGTCAAAGAGCACAATAAATTATTTAGCAGTCGCCAGACTGTAAAATTGCAGGCTGGCTGTGTTAATTGGAAGGAGAGAGAGGGGGAAAAAAAAATTTGTTTGCACACTCCCGGCAAGCATTTTGCTAGTCCATAAAAGAGGGCAACCGATTTAAAGATTTGCTATTTGGAAGGCAAAGGTTGAGAATAATTTCTACCCGTTTTCACATAAGATACCACAGGGGGAAAATTCTGCTTGGGTTTCCCCCCCCCCCCAGTTCAACTCGGTATACTTTGTATAAATAATTAAAAAAAATAGTTTATCTGCAAGTCTCTACTTAAAGCAGTGGTTCTCAACCTTTTTAATGCCACGACCCCCAACTGGTCGTAAGTCGAGGACTACTCAACCGGTCGTAAATCGAGGACTACTCAACCAGTCGTAAGTCGAGGACTACTCAACTGCTGCAGCCCCGTTTGCAGAATGGGACTTTTGGCGGGCTCAGCAGGGCAGAGGCAGCCTGGACAATTCCTGTTGGCTTTTGAAAGCCAATAGAATTAGACTCTATTCAAGAGAATCTATTCTATTAGCTTTCAAAAGCCAACAGAATAAAAGGGAGTAGCACAGCTAAGGAAAAGGGGGAAAAATGGCGGACTGCGTTGTTTGGCAACCCCCGTGAAATGGTTGTTCGACCCCAAATGGGGTCCCGACCCAACAGGTTGAGAACCGCTGACTTAAAGTAATGATTGGCTTTCAAAGATCATTTGAAATCTGTCGTATCAACTGTTATGTGAAGAATTCCCAGAGGGAGTATTTATGAAAATACAACAGGACAGAATTTCAGGATACTGTCGCCAATAGATCTGAAAACTATCTTAATCAAGAAATATAAATGATGTGTTCTAAATTATTCTACTAACAGTCTTTAATTGTTTCTAAGATTGGTGTCTCCTATGCCTACAAAGCCAGGTTAAACATGTTTCAAGACAGCTTATTTAGAGATGCTGTTACAGGAGAGTACAGGCAGTCCTCAACTTATGAGCCCAAAATTTCTGTTGCTAAGCGAGACACTTGTTAAGAGTATTTTGCCCCATTTTGCGACTTTTCTTGCCACAATTGTTAAGTGAATCACTGCAGTTTGTTAAGTTAGTAACACGGTTGTTAAGTGAATCTGGCTTCCCCCATTGAGTCTCTGCCTGTCAGGTTGCAAAAAGGGATCACGTGACTCCAGCACAACAAAACTGTCATAAGTACGAGTCAGTTGCCAAGCGTCTGAATTTTCATCACATGACCACGGGGACGCTGCAACGGTTGTGAAGTGGAAAACGGCCGTAAGTCACTTTTTTCAATGCTGTGGTAACTTTGAACGATCACTAAACGAGCTGTCTTAATCGAGGCCTGCCTGCATATTTGGAAAAACGAAACCGACCAATTTTTTTTTATAGGCCTTATGAAACTGCTAAGATTAGGCTTCCCGGGAAGTAAGGTTGAAGTGAAGATGCCTTGGTAAGGCCACACCTGGAATACTGCATCCAGTTTTGGTCACCAAAAGTCTGGAAAAAAATCCAGAGAAGAGCCACTAAGATGATCAAAGGCCTGGAGACTCAAACGTACGAACAACCGCTGTGGGACTTGGATTTGGCCAATCTAAAGAAAAGGGGAGACATGATAGCAGTGTTTCAGTATCTGAGGGGCTGCCACAAAGAAGAGGAGGTCAAACTATTTTCCAAAGTGCCAGAGGGCAGGAGAAGAAACAATGGTTGGAAACTGACCAAAGAGAGAAGCAATCTGGAATTAAGGATAAACTTCCTGACAGTGAGGACAATCAAGCAGTGGAACAGCCTGCCACCAGAAATCGTGGGCACTCCATCACTGGAGATTTTTAAGAAGAGACCAGCGGTTCTCAACCTATGGGTCACGACCCCTTTTGGGGTTGAACGACCATTTCACGGGGGTTGCCAAACAAGGCTGTCCGCCATTTTTTTCCCCTTTTCTTTAGCTGTGCTACTCCCTCTTATTCTATTGGCTTTTGAAAGCCAATAGAATAGATTTTCTTGAATAGAGTCTAATTCTATTGGCTTTCAAAAGCCAATAGGAATTGTCCAGGCTGTCTCTGCCTTGCTGAGCCCGCCAAAAGCCCCAGTCTGCAAACGGTGCTGCAAGACGAACTTTCTGGAAAGCTTCCCTCCCTGCTGAGCAACTACTAAAAGTAAGTAAAAGAAGGCCAGGGGTGGGAGGTGGGAGGCCGGTGGGCGCAGGGAGGATTGCTGGCGCACGTGGAGCCCGGCGGGTGCCTTACTTCCCTTGGGCTGGGCCAGCTGGTGGTCCAGCCAGTGGTCGGCCTGCGCTATCTCTGCCGCTTGCCAGCTATGCCTCGGCCGGCGCAGGGGGCAGCACCATGCATGCGCGGCGCTCCCAGGCCGAGGCGGTCACTGGGCGACGGCCCGCATGAAGCTGCAGGAGAGGAGGCGGAGCATGCGCGCCTCCTCCTGTCCCGCCCTCAGGGAAATACAGGTAGTCCTCGACTTACGACCACATGGCTGGGGTTGTGGCATTGGGAAGGTTGGAACCACTGGACTAGACAATCACGTGTCTGAAATAGATCCTCCTGCTTGAGCAGGGGGCTGGACTAGAAAACCTCCAAGGTCCCTTTGAGCTCTGTTCTATTCTATTCTATTCTATTCTATTCTATTCTATTCTATTCTATTCTATTCTATTCTATTCTATTCTATTCTATTCTTGCACAAAAGTCCTTTCCCAAACAAATTTAAGGGAAAAAAGAAAAGCCCACCAACAGTTTGAATGACATAGGCAACACAATTTCCTCACTAGTACATTTACTACCAGAGAAATCGCCCAGGGTACCATGATAATCCACTATCCAAATGTCCACCGTGTGAATGAATTCATTTTTTTAAAAAGCTGTCTAGAATTATCCAAGCAACCTCTTTAAGCGACCCTTGACCAGTACAATGCCTCCTTCACAATGCGTTTTCCATTCTTTTTTTTTTTTTTTTCAGTTGGGAGCTTAACTCTTCGACTTAAGCAAAAAAAAATTGATCTTGCCTTGAAGAGGATGAAGTTCAATTTGACTTAGAAGCCAGGCCTTTAATTTTGCAAATCACACTTAACAGGTGACTGTTTTGCAGATGGCCTTGCAAGCGTGTTGAGTTGGCAGTTTTGAAGGGAGTTGTATTTCATAATATAGGTGAGGACCTGAGGTACCAAATTATTTTTCAGAAATCAGCATTTTGCTTTTCTCACAATAGCATCCAGCTACCTTATATGTATCCCCTTGCTATACGTACACAACAAGTTCTTCCCTTTTTTTGCGAAAAGAATAAAGGGCAGCACAATTCAGGGTTTGCCTTTGTGTTCTTGTACTGGCTTGAATTATGTCAAACTTAGTCCATGAGACTGAGAGTTTGTAATAGAACCAATGTGTAGAAATGATAAATATGAAGAAAAAAAATAGGTGGATGGACTGCTTCCTTTCTAAACTTCTCTTAAAAGGCCAGCAGAATTTTGTAGGCCTACATCAACAGACACAGAATGTAAACACATATCCGTGAGGCCTGGAGGAGAAAAATATATTTACAATAAATGTACCGATATATAATGTTCCAATGAAGATAAAATATGGTCCATGTGTTTTTACCCTGTTGAAGAATCAATGCCGACGTATTTCTAACTAATATACTGCTATTAAGGTAGAATTACACGACAATTGTAAAGTGCTGATATCATATAGCGTTGAAAATGCATTACAGATCATTTAAACCAGTGGTTCTCAACCTGTGGGTCGGGACCCCATTTGGGGTCAAACGACCATTTCATGGGGGTCACCAAACAACGCAGTCCGCCAGTTCCCCCCCCCCCTTTTTTCCTTAGCTGTGCTACTCCCTTTTATTCTATTGGCTTTTGAAAGCCAGTAGAATAGACTCTCTTGAATAGAGTCTAATTCTATTGGCTTTCAAAAGCCAATAGGAATTGTCCAGGCTGTGTCTGCCCTGCTGAGCCCGCCAAAAGTCCCATTCTGCAAACGGTGCTGCACCAGTTGAGTAGTCCTCGACTTACAACCGGTTGAGTAGTCCTCGACTTACGACCGGTTGGGGGTTGCGGCATTAAAAAGGTTGAGAACCACTGATTTAAACCAACGGTTAAAAATACAAAAGTATTTTAAATGTTTTGTCTAAAAATTAGGCACATCAAATTTTAAAATATTAAAACTTTCAAACGGAATTATTTATGCATCTTAGTCATGGAATTTAGAAACGGTAAAAGTAAACAGTCCCTTTCCGTACCTGATATTAATCAGGATTTACTTTAGATTAAAAACACTTATATCACAGTACCAGCCAAACTGAATAGAGGTAGCCCTCAACCTACGACCAAATTGGAACCAGAATTTTCTTTGTTAAGCAAGGCAATTTAACTGAGGCACACAAAAGGTTATGGCCTTTTTTGTCACAGTTGTTAAGCGGGGAATCATGCAGTTGTTAAGTGAATTTGGCTTCCCCCACTAACTTTGCTAGTCAGAAGCTGGTTGGGAAGGCCACAAATGGGGATCATATCACCCCGGAATGTTGCAGCTACTGTAAATATATGTTAAGTTGCCAAGCGCCCAAATTTTGATAATTTGACAGTGGGGTTGCTGCCACAGTTGTGAGTGTGAGGACCAGTTGCAAGTCACTTTTTTCACTGTAATGGTCGTAAATGAAGGGTTGTTAAATGGAGAACTAGCTGTACACTATCCAGTTGAAGCGTTAGGTATTCAAGATCTGAACAGCTGGATTCCATGCCACCCCTAGTTTTTTTTACTTAGTATCATATTCCTGATTTTGATCATATTCTGTAGATGTTCTTCAGGTGGCTGTGTGGAAATTAGATAACAACTTTTCTTATGAGCAGTCAGGGCCTTCCAAGTGCCAAAGCCCCTCCCACAAAAAAAGACATTAGCTGGAGCGTACAGACATAAGAAACCAATTTAAGTCTGTTTTGTCTTGAAATAGTTTGAGGCGGTGAGGGCATTGCACCTTCTTCCAATTGAAATGGATTGTTGTTTTTTTTCATGCCGATCCAAGTTTGACCTTAGTGTGAAGCTTGCAACACTGGAAGCAGGCAAGGTGACCAGGAGGCCTGTGCTCAGAAAAACCAGCCAGTTTTAGCCTTGAATAGCCAGTCCTATCAAGAGGGATAATAACAGAGAAAGAATGTTCTTGGAAATGTTCCTTTAGTGTTGTCAAACATTTTAAATTTTTCCTGCAGGAAATATAGCACAGTGTCCCGGCTCCTGAAAAACTCAAAAACAAATCTCTTCATGGTCCAAGTCCATGTCTTCAGATTGTGCAGTATTCGTATCTAAAACAGGAATAAATACAACGTTAAATTTTAATCTTTATACTTAGAATCGTAAATGAGTAAACTTTGCTCTTTGCATTTACCTGTGGGAAAGCCAGCTAAAAGGCCACAATCCTAGAAATCTGTCATAAGTGATCTGAAATGGAAAAGCACAATTTACATTCACGAGCAGTCAGAAATTACTTGTATTTGGTTTGATTCTTTCACATCCTGTAGCACCAAAGATACAAATAGTATCTATTTCACAAATAATTTGGTGCTGAATCTACAGTAGCTGTAACTTCATAAATATTTAATAAATCTTCTCCCCAATATTATTTTTAATCCCAAAAAGCCAAGCATCCTTTTCCTGGACTTCCAAATTCCAAGAACAAGTCACTGAACCACCATATTTTTGATCGGTTTTATTCTTCTTAAAATCCTCTTTGTTCCAAGTGAATAGTTCAGAAACCAGACCATTAGATATTATATTTAATATTTAGACAGAGAGCTGACTGTAGATTCATACCAATGCGCTTTTTGAGGCTATGATTAAACCAACCTTAAAATTTCCCTCTTTAAAAAGTAGTATAGCAACAGTTGTCTTCATTACTTCATTATAAATTTTGGTTAACTGAAACATGTATTGATTTATATACCTTTACATCCTGTCATTTGTCAAAGGGGTTCAAAATGCTACCTTAGTTCTCCGGCCATTAAGTGTTTTCACATTTTAATTCCATGAACTAGCTTAGTTTAGGAGATAAAGGGTGATATTTAAAACAAAGCCCATAGATTCTTGGTCAAACGACATAATTTTCTCTTCCCTACTATAATCTCACCATGTCCTCAAAAATCTGCTCTGGAGAAATAGAGTTGGCCACTTACAGACCATCTTCTGAGGGCGACTGATTGACTGCAATACAGTAGTGGCCAAAATTGTGGAAATCCTTTGGGAAAAGTGTACAGTAGAAATGCCACCTTTGGTAAAGTTTCCACCCATTTTTCTTCTAATTTCTTTATAACTGTAGCCTTGTTCACTTAACAATACTATTTTACATCGCTTTCTGGGCGACCAGTCAACTCTTTGCACCATTCCCTTAATTTTATTATGTTTTGCAAGCTCACTCAGTGAAAGAACACAAAAAACCCCAACCAACTTGATAGCGATCACATAACACACTGACCAATGTCCTCCTCTCAGCTTCAATACAGGACATCGATAACTGGATCCTACTGTGATCTGATTGGCTCATGGCCAAAACAAAACAACACCCGATTGGCTCTCTAAACACTCATGCTCATTGGCTACAATCGGATGAAGGAAAGCTATCTGATATCAACCTAAGCAAGTTGGGCTTCCTTTTTTTGGTTATTTGGTTATAGCTTTTCATAGAATACAGTACAGATAATTGAACAAACGTTGTTGCATTACATTCTTGATTAAATTATCTTTCCATTGATATACAATTTTATGGTACTGCTCCAAAAAAAAAAGTGGTGTTATTAGCCATCAAACCTCAAAAATACACTTTTCCCAAAAGGTTTTCACAATTTTGGCCACTACTGTAGAAGGAACAATCTTATACATCCCAGGTCCGCATGGACACAGATATGTTCAGCTTCAAAAAGCAACAGGACTCCATGCAATTAAATGCTCAAGAGCACCTAATGTATTGATTCTATTTGTAGAAGACTCACATGGTGAGAGGGGAAAGTGAAACTTTCTCATGCCTTCTCCCTTACTGCTTTTAGAGCAGTGGTTCTCAACCTTTTTAATGCCGCGACCCCCAACCGTTCGTAAGTCGAGGACTACTCAACTGGCGCAGCACCGTTTGCAGAATGGGACTTTTGGCGGGCTCAGCAGGGCAGAGACAGCCTGGACAATTCCTATTGGCTTTTGAAAGCCAATAGAATTAGACTCTATTCAAGAGAGTCTCTTCTATTGGCTTTCAAAAGCCAATAGAATAAAAGGGAGTAGCACAGCTAAGGAAAAGAGGGAAAAAATGGCGGACAGCCTTGTTTGGCGACCCCCGTGAAATGGTCGTTCAACCCCAAATGGGGTCCCGACCCACAGGTTGAAAACCACTGTTTTAGAGAATGTCAGTGAATTTCTTATAAAACTGCTTTATTCAACCTAATACCAAAATATTACTATATGTACTGTTCCTGGACAGAAAAAAAAATTCCCCAAATTTGAATAATTAATTTTGAAATTTCCAAACAAAAGCTCCACCTATTTTATTACTTTTTTGGGGAGGATCTAACTAACAATAATCTCATTGAAAAGAATAGTTTACATTTACAAATTATTTGCGCTATGTATCTGATGTGAAAGACTGTTCTTCTCTATAGGAATAGCAGATTATTAAAGTCAGGACAGTGAATACTGAGAACATTATGAAACTTTTAGCTAAAAATTAAATGCGAGTCTTTTAACCTACGTTATACAGAATTTTAAATTACATTTTACAGTATCAAAAAGTACTACTTATGTCTTTGTGTTTTGAATAATAGCAAGCCTAAAATAGTTCCATATATTTTGATCATCTATTTATCTAAACAATGGTTAGTGGTGCTTTATGATATCTCTGGTATAAGGCTGGCTTCCAAATGTATCTGAATCTGAGCAATAAAAATCTAAAGTATATTTCTAAGCAATAAACAACATGTGTTTTCATGCTTATAGTATCCTAAGTCCAGAATCCATTGATTTCAATTAGGGTTATTTCCAGAAAAGTAAATACAGAACTGCTGTCTAACTGGTCTACATATTTAATGCAGATCCACTATTGTTTCAAGTGGAAAGCATAAATCACCATGTGTCTGTGCATTACAAAGATGATGATAATAATAATAATAATAATAATAATAATAATAATAATAATAATAATAATAATAAAGTTGGAAGGGACCTTGGAGGTCATCTAGTCCAACCCCCTGCAAGGCAGGAAACCTTATACCAGTGGTGGCGAACCTATGGCACGGGTGCCAGAGGCGGCACTCCGACCCCTCTCTGTGGGCACGCACTCCGTCGCCCCAGTCCTAGGCCTTCAGCTGGGTTTTATAAAACCTTTTCGCTTTAGGCCTCTGCCGCCATGTGCAAAAAAAAAAAAAAAGGTTCAAGCAATCAGTCAATTTCAACTTCTCGCAGGGAAAAAAAAGACCTTGCAAAGTTGGAATTGATTGATTGAACTTTTTAGTCCCACCCAGTCTGCCGTTACCACTGCAGCCACGCCCACCCAATGGGCCACACCTACCCGGCACACGACGATGCATAAGTGGGCTTTAGGTTGCAGTTTGGGCACTCGGTCTCTAAAAGGTTCGCCATCACTATCCTATACCATTTCAGACAAATGGCTGTCCAGTTTCCAGATATCTGTCAGCCTTTACAAGAAGATGCAAAAGAGGTATATAGTACTGGCAATATCAGATAGCGTATTTTAATAATTCTGAAATATTACTCCATCTAACAAAGTACAGTCTGCTATATCAGGCCATAGGTTCAGGATTAATTCTCATATCCCCCAAATATTTGACAATACCTGGGCCTATAAAGCATAACCCCAGTCAATTATTATCTTACCTGAGTTGAAAATATCACTCTCTTAAAGAGTTTCTGGAGATACGTTATCAGACGTTGTAATGATGAGAGTGGGGATCTGAGTAGCAAGTTGTAATGAAACCAGCAGTGGAGGTGGTGCTTCTATTTTGCCATTACATCCGTCCCAGGTGGAATTGTTCAACTGGGTGCCAGCCCCTGAGGCACACAGGAAACCAATCCCACCCACATGAATAACCATCAGCTGATGGTTTTACAAAAGGCAGGAAATGAACTGCTGCAGCTTAATCTTCTGTCGGTAGAGGCAGTGAGGAAACAAAACAGTCCAGGACCACGGGTCATTTTAAATAATCTCCCCACCCAAAAGTGAAGAGGGAACCGGGAGACAAGGCGACGAGAGCAAATTCCAGATCTCCTTTGATAGTGGCGTGTTATTCAATCATCAATTTTTCTTCAGCATTCGGTAGCGTTCAAAATATTTTCAAGTCTGTATCGGTTTTCCAAAAGGTTTCTCAAAACATTTTGAAATGAAAATGGAGCCAGAACAACAATGATTTTCAAGTCCCTCTCAATCAAATACTGACTTCCAGATGTTTCCAGAGAGCGATTTTTTTCCTATAAAAATCAAACTGCTTCAATCATTAATTTTACAAAGAGATTCATATGTCATTGTCTTCAAGGTATAATAACACAATTGTCCTTTTCTATTCTTTGATCCTACCTTTGTTCTTACCACAAAAACCAGTAATTGTGAGGAAAAAGTACAACAGATGCAGTGTGCTTTTTGAAAGGTTTGTAACTATTCTCTCTAGTTGAGCTTGACACCTGATGTCTTACAAGATTGGTTTTTTGGCAACAATACAGAAGCCATCTGTAGGAGGTTTTTTTTTTTTTTTTAACTTCTCAACCTAAACTGAAACTCTGGGGATTTCCTGGTGGTCTCTCCTCCAGGTAACTGAACTGACCCTGCTTAGCTGTTCCAGTATCATCTAAAGTTGGATATGTGCTGGTATCTGATGCAATAGAACTTCACAGGAAAATATATATGAATCTCAACAAATATGAAGGAAGATTTGTTTAAAATACCAGAGGAAAAATATCCATTTCATCAAAAAAAGAGAAGGATGAAATGTTACACGAATTTAAATTTTATGGTACCTATGCCCCATAAGTTATATGGGCTGAGGGGTATAAAATATTCCTACTGCTGAAGAAAATAACATGCACCAAGATAAAGCTGAGTATAGCTATTTTTTTAATGTAGATAAACCAAGCATAAGTACTCATTAGAATCATGGTACTCTTTACATTTTAATAGTAAACTAGAATCACAGTACTCTTTACATTTTAACAGTAAACAACCTATTCTATAGAATGACATTAAAATGAGCCGAGGTGGCGCAGCAGTTAGAGTGCAGTACTGCAGGCCACTTTAGCTGACTGTGTTCAGCAGGTCAGCGGTTCAAATCTCACCGGCTCAAGGTTGACTCAGCCTTCCATCCTTCCGGGGTAGGTAAAATGAGGACCCAGATTGTTGGGGGCAATGTAAATATATATATACATTACTTACTGGTGTACACCGCTTAGAGAGTGCTTGCACTTAAAGCGGTATATAAGTCTCATAAATAAATAAGTCTCATAAATAAATGACATGCAGGCAAAAGGCATTCAAGATAATATAGCATCAAAGGAAAATCATTTCTCAATCTCCTCTGTTAAGATATAATCTAATGATATATCATGCTGAAATTTAATATGGTTTGCTAGCTTAAGTGCCAATGTTGAAAGAAATGAACCATAAAGCCCCCTATTGTAAAATACTGTTAAAACAATATAGTACAGAGGTCCCCAACCTTTGGGGCACCAAGGACCGGTTATGTGGAGAGAGATTTTTCCGCGGACTGGAGGATGCGTGGTTTTGTATGCTGCCTGCATCCCGCGGATGGGGCTTTGCTTGTTTGTGCAAACCGGTTGCTGGCATGCCGCGGCCCGGTACTAGTCCACGGACCGGGGGTTGGGGACCCTTGATATAGCAGATTCGTATAAGAAAAAACAGCACAGCATGATATGGCTGACGAAAACGTTAAGACTTGATTCCAAGATATGAACACAGAAATGAAGTGTACCAAATATGCAAAGTCACAGTTCAAGTATTTAGAGATGCCAAGAAGAACCCAGTTCTACACTTGGAATTTCCAAAGCAAAAAAATGAAGAGCAGCGTGCAAACTTTCATCTTATTATCCTGGATCTTATCAGTTTAAGTTATGTAATATAGAGAATAAATGGAGAATATAGAGGCATCTCAAATTTGTGGGGAACCACACCTAACAATTTCAATCTCTTCCGCTAAAATGGTCACGCTGTTGAATGTGTACAGTTATATTAAAAATGTTCCAAGACAGTAACGTCACCGTAACTCTATGCTTATCCCTATCAAAATTGTACTTGGACATCAGAACATAACTCATATGTAGAGCAGTTTTTAAAAAGAAAGCCAATAGGAGGAACTGAAAGAAGATTATAAGGTTATCTAAGTTAATTAGGCAGAGAGCTTCTTGTAAAAAAAAAATCACCAGAGATATGATTAATAGGTTTTAAAGCTATATTGTATATCTCCTTCACCCCCCTCATTTCAGAAGTTTCAAATATCAAAAGAGACAGGCAAGTACAGAAATATTTAGTATTTAATTGTGGAAAAATTTTTACATGAAAATAATTGGCTAATGAAACAAATAATGCAAATGTAAAGCTGTGAATGGCTTAACTCTGGATAAGCAGAAATAGAAATAGTTGAAACACTGATCACAAATAATAAGACTTATTCATCATACTTCATATCAAAGCATATCATATAATTAAAGGCAAGGGAAACCACATTATTGTTTCAGCATCCCCATGGTCATATGCTTAAAACTTTAAGGAAGGTCTTTTTGTAAGAGGAGAAATATATTTCCAGGGTATTACCTTATTTTTCACCCAAGGAGAAAAACACTCATTTCCAAATAGGAGTTTTTTTTTTCCCCCACACACTGACAGTTACAAAAGTATTATTACCTGTCCTTTCTGAAAAATAACTAATTCTTCTGGAATGGTTATCTATGTAAAGCTTAAAGAAAGAAAAAACTGCATTCCAGGAATCAATAGGTCTTTTCTGACTCTAGCTGCCCTCGTACCTGAAGACTTGGAGTGCGCTTAAATATCCTGTTCACTTTGTCAAAACCTCCTTAAGGATGATAAAATAATTAAGATATTCCACAGTAAGACCCCACAGGAGCAGGAATGCACAAGATTGCAGATGTACCTTGTGTTTACAAGAGTACGAAAAACTAAAGATGACTAGTTGTCTTATTGGCAAGGGACCACACACAGGCGTGCACACACATATACACACCCTCCCCACACACCCAGGATGAGAGAAAATGAAAGTCTTTTCTCATTCTCTGCATTTCTAAACAAAATTAACAAACCAAATTGAACCGCTTAGGTAACACCCCCACTCTTGCTAGCTAATTAACCAGTCATTCATAAAATTACCTAGAAGTTGCATATGGTCCAAGAACTGCAAGTTGGTGGCCCCTGTTCTAGGTGTTCTTCAACAGTTGTCCAACATAAAGTGCTTCACTGTGGTCTCAACATGATGCAGTCGACTCAGGCTTAACCGTTGCCAAGTATAGGTTTGTATGCTAAGTTTAGCTAGTAGACTAATTTCAGCTGTGCCAAGTTCTCCTTGCTGCCTATGACATGTGAAATTCAAGGCCGAACATAATCAGAGAGCTCTTCAAGCTATGAAATTGATTTTTTTTTTCAGTGGGAGCACAATCCTTCCAGAACAGCTGAATCCCAAATTCTAAGACAGATTTTTTTTATTGATCAACACCATCATCTATTATGAATATAACCCAGTCCATTATTAATATTACAGTACATGGGAAAATATAACAGAGATTGAAGACATGAGAACATTGATGGCACTTCAATACTAACCTCTAAATTAGCTGTCTCAAATGTCCCATTTAGGTATAAAGTAGAAACCCTACACAAAACTTGAACTCAGATTCCATCATGTTAAACAGAAACACGTTTTAGATTGATCGGAACAGAAAGGCCTAAAGTCACTATGGGAAAATATTGTAAGGCTCAATTCTGTCAGGTATTTCCGAAAGAGATTATTGTCAATGGTATTAAAACTTACTGAGAATTGCAAAAGAAGTAATAGGAATGAACCCTAACTCTACTCCATCCCTTACTGAAGTTCCTAGTACAGATCATCTCTCAGATAAAACACCATCTCCATTCAATACATTGGACAAAAGAATGACTGAGATGGGATCCAGGTTAGAGGCATCAACCGTGACTGGATTCTGATGCCACTCAAATGGAGCCTTTTCTCTGATAGGCTGAGTAAAAAAGCACGATTTTATTTCTCAAACAGTAATTATTGCCGTGGTCATCAAAAATGGGCATTTCCCTTTCTATTTCAAGAAAATAAACCTTAGTTTATCCATTTGTTAATTTGCTTGAATACGCTGCTTATTATTTGTTTTTGTGAGAATTAGTTTTGATCAAGGAATAAACATGGAAAAGAGTGAAGACAATGCTTTTTGCTGTGTAATCAAAAGTAATTAAGTAATTAAAATGCTTAAATCATCATCAACTTAGGCAGATTACAATAAAATAAAATCCAAATCACCACATCAGCAAGTCAAAGAAAACAAATTATAACAAATAAGCCACAAGATTATTATTTATTACCCCCAGAAATCGTGGGCGCTCCATCACTGGAAATTTTCAAGAAGAGACTGGACAATCACCTGTCTGAGATGGTGTAGGTTCTCCTGCTTGAGCAGGAGGCTGGACTAGAAGACCTCCAAGGTCCCTTCCAGCTCTATTCTATTCTATTCTATTCTATTCTATTCTATTCTATTCCATTCTATTCCATTCCATTCCATTCCACTCCACTCCTCTATTCCATTATAATACGACACATTCATACCACAAGACAAGATTAATAAATAAGAAACAAGCCAAAATTTGGTTCCAATAACAATCTTCAAAAGCTTCCAGAAGAATATTGTCTCACTACATTCTGGAAGGTCACCACTGAAAGGGACATCCAGCTTCTGAAGTAAAGTTATTCAAGTGTATGGGAGCCATGATGAAACAACAGCTTTTTCTGGTTCCAGGCCAACCTCACCTCATGAAAATGGGGGACAACACGCAACTTATCCCAGAAGGGTCTCACTAGATGTATCTGTTTTAAATAGACAGTCCTGAAGATACCCACTTTCCAAGCTTTATTTACTGATAATACTTGAATACCCGCTTCAAGAGGGAACAGCAATAATTGACCAGACTGATGCCAAGCAACAAACTTTGTCCATCATTGCAGCAAAATTCCACTATTGCTTAGAATGTGGATAAAACTTGGATGCGGAGCTTTTAAAAAATAAACCTGCAAAATCATGGTTATTAAATCAAGGTTTATTTTGAAAGCTACAAGGTTCTAGCTATTTTAGAAAGGGAAAAGTTGGGAAAACAATAAGGCCACTCAGGGATGTATTCTGTGGTTAACAAAATGAGGAGCAAACCACCAATGGCAAACCACGAGCTATATTATTTAATGGATTTACTTTATGAATCCTTAGAATAGTCTAGTGCAGGGATGTCAAACTGCTGGCCCATGGGCCGGATGCATAATCTGGAAGCCATGCCCACCCCATTGCCGGCAATGGCAAAACCGTCCCGATATGTTGCGTGACATCATGTGACGTAGCGAGTTTGACATGTCTGGTCTAGTGGTTCCGCAAGAGAAAAAAAGTAATCAAACTCTGACATATATAATGTTAGGCATTTTACCGACCCCAGTAAGTACAACAGACACATTATTAATCAAATAAGCCAATAGGCCAGGGTGTGCCATATAGAAAGCCAAGTTTGTCCGTCTGTGTGTATTAGCCTTAAGCTGCAACATTAGAAATACTATTTGACCAACAAATGAAATAGTATAGATGCTACGTATCACAGATTTGTATCACTGAATGTTCTCAAACAATCGAATGGGAAAAATAATCTTAAATCTAAAAATATACCATCACAAGAGGAAGGCAAGTGTTAAACATAGAGGTATTTTTTATGGGTTATAAACGGTACAATCAAAACAAAAATATATTGGCCTAGCCCGGGGTCTTGAAACTTGGCCCTTTGATGACTTGTGGACTTCAACTCCCAGAATTCCTCAGCCAGGTGTGCCTGGCTAAGGAATTCTGGGAGTTGAAGTCCACAAGTCATCAAAGAGCCAAGTTTGAAGACCCCTGCCCTAGCCACTACTTGTGAGACCTGGGACCCAAAATGTTTCAGACACAGAACACCTATTCTCAAGGTGGCTGAGAACAATTCAAGTGGTGTCCACACAGGGACCCAAATTTAGAGTGACCTGAATTCGGTTTAATAGCTCTTTTACGAGCGCTAATTAACCTTGTAGTAGTATACACAGAAACAGCAACTTACAAGACAAGGAATGTGTGCCTTTGGGTAAATATTCAAAGAGCAGAGAACTCTCTTCTCCAAGCAGGTCAGCTTTCAAGGACAATAAGCTATTCTTGCTCATAAGAGCTGCCCGCAAGTTAGCAACTGCTACAGCCTGAAGTGCATCCTCTTTCTCTGGAGTAAGTGGCTGAGAGAGATAACTCACTTCACCTCCTAGGAGTGCTTCATCAACCTTTGCATAAAGATCCACTCTCTCTATTCTGTTGTCAGAATGGTTGGGCTCTGCCCCTGTCAGATCCACACCTGCATGAAAAAGAAAGAAAGAAAGAAACATAAGTTTACATTTAAGCATGGAGACCTAGAAGAAGTGAATTTGTAAAACTCTTCCTTCACATTTGAGCTCACAGCGTCAGCTTCAAAGCTAAAAGGCTCAAAATATATGCTTCCCCCCCCCCCCGGTTACATTTCACATATCAATGTTATTATCCCTTTGCTGATATTACATCCAAAGAGTGTACGCTTTGCAAGATACACTATATACTGTCACTTTGTAGTATCTTTGCTGCTATAGTACGAAAGACTAATTACCCAGTTATGTAAAATTACTTCAGATTAGCTTTTTGTTCCTTTTGTTAACTCTGCTACAGTTTAATCAAAGAGTATACTACTGTTAAATAACATTTTATACCCGTGGTGGCAAACCTATGTCATGGGTGCCACAGGTGGCACGCAGAGCCCTCTCTGTGGGCACGTGCACTGTTGCCCCAGTCCTAGGCCTACTTAATTTTTCAAGATCAGGCATGGTTGGCCAGGTGCTTCCAACTATTTTGACAATATAATTAGATAGACTTATATACGGGAATATACTTTGACAATATGATTACATATGTAATTGCATAATGCTGATGTAACCATCTAGCTTAGTGGAGGCGAACCTATGGCACGGGTGCCAGAGGCGGCACTCGGAGCCCTTTCTGTGGGCACGCGCGCCGTCACCCTAGTCCTAGGCCTTCAGCTGGGTTTTATAACACCTTTTCGCTTTAGGCCTCTACTGCCCTGTGCAAAAAAAAAAAAGGTTCAATCAATCAATTTCAACTTCTCGCAGGGAAAAAAAAAGATTTCGCAGAGTTGGAATTGCTTGATTGAACTTTTTAATCCCACCCCATCTGCCGTTATCACTGAAGCCACGCCCACCCAATGGGCCACACCCACCCGGCACCCGACGATGCATAAGTGGGTTTTGGGTTGCAGTTTGGGCACTCGGTCTCTAAAAGGTTCGCCATCACTGTTTTATACTATTCCCTAACTTAAAAGGTATGTTAAAAAGCAGGTCTCTCGTGAAATTTATTACTCCCATAGCAATGTACCTTGATTTTTTTACAATAATTTTCAAAGATCAAGTAGCAGAATGTGAAGATTATGATAGATCTGACAGGAAGTTATTATAGGATGCGAATTGCCAAGTTTTTAAATTAACCAGCTCAGCAAAATAGATACTAAAAATTCTCCAAAAGTCATTTTAAAAGAAGTTAAGGATATGACCTTGTTAGTATTTATCAGCATCTACTATGTATGGTCCATTGAAATCAGAGGTTTTGTTAAGTTAAAAAAAAAAATGCTTCCCTTCCTAATTTCACCTAGTATTTTTCACTAATAAGAAATTGTTATGACAGAAAATACTTATGATAAATGCTAAAGAATCATAACTGTACCATACATGAAAAATATTGTTCTGTCTGAATACCTGATTGCCAAGGACCCATCCCGATTGTCAAATCATAATGGCACTAAGTAGCCAATCTAGGCCTTTAGTTTGACAGAGTTGCTACCTCTAAAACCATCTGTTCAGAATACATCTAATCAATTCTCATAGTACAAGAGTTCCTTGTACAAGAGCTATTTATTCTTCAGAGAATAGCTTCAAACAAATCTAAAGCAAACAGAATTATTTTTGATCTAGAGCAGCGGTTCTCAACCTATGGGTCGCGACCCCATTTGGGGTCGATCGACCATTTCACGGGGGTCACCAAGCAAGGCTGCCTGCCATTTTTTCCCCTTTTCCGGCGGGTGCCTTACCTCCCTCGGGCTGGGCCAGCTGGTGGCCCAGCCGGTGGTCGGCCTGCTCCGTCTCTACCACTTGCCAGCTACACCTCGGCCAGTGCAGGGGGCGGCACCACGCATGTGCGGCGCTCCCGGGCAGGGAAAGTCCTCGACTTATGACGGGTTTAGTCCTCGACTTACAACCGGTTGGGGGTCGCGGCATTAAAAAGGTTGAGAACCACTGATCTAGAGAGTCTCATTTTATTGCCTGGATACCTAGTTCTTAATCCTAGTAGTATCTCAGCTCTCTTCTGGTGTGTTCTCATTGCCAGAAAATTTCTTCTTACTTCTATGTTGGATCTCTCTTAACAAGCTTCCACCTATTACTTCTTGTCTTGCCTTCTGGAGCTTTGGAGAATAAGTCAAATCTCCGGTTCTCTGCGACAGCTGCTCAAGTACTAGAAGACAGTTATCATGTCCCTCCTAATCCTTCTCTTTGATAGGCTAGAATCAGACATAGCTAGCTCCCTCAACCGTTCATCATATGATTTAGCCTCCAGATCCTTTTTCGTCTTTGTTGCTCTTCTCTGTGAAGCGGTATATAAGTCTAAGGCAGTGATTCTCAACCTGTGGGTCGGGACCCCATTTGGGGTCGAACGACCATTTCACCGGGGTCGCCAAACAACACAGTCCGTCATTTTTTTTTTTCCTTTTCCTTAGCTGTGCTACTCCCTTTTATTCTGTTGGCTGTTGAAAGCCAATAGAATAGACTCTCTTGAATAAAGTCTAATTCTATTGGCTTTCAAAAGCCAATAGGAATTGTCCAGGCTGTCTCTGCCCTGCTGAGCCTGCTAAAAGTCCCATTCTGCAAACGGTGCTGCACCAGTTGAATAGTCCTCGACTTACTACCGGTTGAGTAGTCCTCGACTTACGACCCAGTTGGGGGGGGGTTACGGCATTAAAAAGGTTGAGAACCACTGGTCTAAGGACTATTGCTATTGATCTCTTTGCATGATTTCCCCCCCCCCTCCCATGATTTAATGTAGTTATTAAATAGTCTGAATTACAGATTTGTCACTGGCAAGCCAAGGTCACAAGGACATCTAGCAAGTTGATAGAACCATTTCCTGAATATGTTCTTTTAGAAATCAGGACCAGAAAAGTGTTATTATGGTATCAATAACAATAAAAGTCACTGAGGTCTGTCAAAGCCATTCTTGCCTTGTCTAGTTACCAGATATTGCCGTTTGAGATCACACCACTGCAGTCAATTAAGCAACTTGGAAACAAGATTTTTTTTAAAAAAATCAGGGTAATCAGTATCTATAAATAAGCATTGAACTACCTTGCTGTCCTTCTTCTTTGGGAGCAGAAGAACAAACCATTTTCAAGTTCTTAGTACATAAGAACCAATTACACTGGAAGGCCAGCAAAATCATTTCCAGATTTTGTTATCCTATTTCAGCATTCTATTTTCACACCCACATCAGGAAACTGATGAACCAAGAGCTGTGCTGTCCAAGATTAAATTTACTGCTGTTATATGAAGAAGGGCAAGACCATGAACTATGATACAATGGTGATAGAAGTTGACACAGATAAATGAAAAACTTAATTAAATTGTGGGAGCTGTATCAGACATTGCAGGAATACAAATTGAAAAACCTCCTCCATCTGTTACAGAAAGGAGTTGGAGCAGTTAATAAATAGAAACTCAGATTTAAAATTTTAAATAAAGCCTCCAGTTTATTAATGGGTCATTTATAAAAAAAATCTGATTTCTGCTAACCATTATCAATCTGAAAAACAAACTGAATAAAGTAATAGAACTAGATTTCTGATATATGTACAGAAAAAATTGAGATTTTAAACAGTGGTCTTGACGTTGATGTATCTTAATGATAGAGAACTCAATTTATAGGATTAATAAACTCTTTAAAAAGAGGAGTAGACGAAACTGTTTTAGCTATATTCAGTCTTCTAAATCTTGCTAAAGCCACACTCCCAGAATTGGACACAGTCAAAACAATTTTAAATTATAGCTATTTTTCAATGTCCCTTCCTTTCCAATGGAAATTATTAACTTAAAAATATTATGAAACCAGTGTCATAAACAATTATGGTACATGCCATGTCCCATTTGGTATTTTGCCACATATTTATAATACTTGAAATTAGTTCCAGTTAGTTCACAGGGGCTGGAGTTATACACCACATGAAGTATAATGTAATTTCTTCGATATTAATTTAGGGAATTGTGTAAAATCATCAATTACTGTATGACCTGTAAACCATGCTTTATTTAGCAGAATTTTGAACTACTGCAGTTGTGATTTAGTCAATATATGAAGGGGGCATTATCATAGTAGCCGTGGTTAGAATGTCGTATTGCAAGCTAACTCTGTCCACAGCCAGGAGTTAGATCCTGGACAGTTCAACATTGACTTCAGAGGTTGGTAAAATGAGGACCCAGATTGTTGGGGGCAATATGCTGACATGTGTTAATTGCTCAGAAAGTACTGTAAAGCACTATGGAGCAGTATATAAGTCTAAGTGCTACTGCTATAGTAACCGAGGGTGTGCTAGTAGGGTAAGAGAAATATATATTTACAACCAATCCCTCTTCCAGCTTTCCTTCTATTTCCCACCTAACTGATTGCTCTACTGCTATTCTCTCTGTCCACTTGGAATTATTGTTCAGTACTAGTTCAGTTCATAAGGCGGCCAAATTAACCCTTGATTTGATGAGGAAATTCAATCTGGGATACATTAATAAGGTCTGGAGGGGTAAAATGAGTGGAATTATTTTAATCTGGTTTTGCACATAAAGATTCATGGTACATAACCATCCTAGGCTTGGCATTGGGGTAGTGCAGGGGTCTTTAAACTTGGTCCTTTTATGACTTGTGGACTTCAACTCCCAGAATTCCTCAGCCAGGCATGCCTGGCTGAGGAATTCTGAGAGTTGAAGTCCACAAGTCATAAAAGGACCAAGTTTGAAGATCCCTGAGAGAGACAGATTGCAGTTGGCCTGCCTTCCACTGTATTACCCAATGGCTTTTCTACATGAACTGGCTGAAGTAATTTTGAGAATGAAGTTGTATGCCTCAGGGTAATTTTCTAAGGGGACATTCATGCTATCTTGGATAATCCATTTGGGGATTTTATGGATTCCGTGGCAACCACCAGGCTTTTGAGTGCATCAGTGACCACACACAGGGTAAGACATTCTGTTGATTTCATCTCATACGCTCTTGATCTGG